TTGATTCCACAATACTTTTCCTCTTTGCTTTATAGGACTCAGGTGGACACCACTGCTACACTTTAAACAATCTATATCGGGCTAACCCTATCTCCATCCAAGCAGGGCTTCAAACCTGTTCTTCCCAGTTTAGTCATGGCCCACAAAGCAAAACTGGAACAGACCCAAATTATAAAATGTGGGTGAACTGGGACAATAAACAGAATGAAAAAAATTACAGGTTGACGCCCTACTAGAAACTTAATCTCCCTCTTAGAAAACAAGGGCAGTGTATGCACTGTGTAGCAACCAAATCTCTTGACTGGCACAGTTCAAAACAGTGGCGCCCCACTCAAAGATGGAGCCCAAACGCACCGCTTAGATGTGTGTCACTCTCCACAGTGCTACCAATGATAATCCAATCTCCCACAGCAGGCTCCTGCAATGACTCACTATACCTCTTCTGCGTCTCCTATCTCAGGGCTTGGATCTGTAATTTTTCCTGTTTCTGTTATTGTTCCATTTCACCCAAATTTTAACAATTCAGGTCTGTTTTGGTTTGAAGACCTGCATCCAAGACATGGTTCTGTTGGGTGGGAGCTGTCCATTATGGTTTAGAGAGTCCGGCTACTCAGACAGTGGTCTGCAGAGCAGCAGCATTACCTAGGCATTTATTGGAAGTGCAGAATCTCTGGCTCTACCCCAGACCTACTTGAATCAGAGTCTGCATTTTAACAAGAGTCCAGGTGATTTGTATGCACGTTAAGACTGAGGAACACTTCTCTGTAAAGTCTGATTAAGAAAATGTGTTGCATAAATCAGGAATGTATATCTTAAATAAACATCTCAACTTATTCTGGTTCAAATGAGCTTCTGGCAACATTTTGAAAAGTAAAATGTGCTTTCTGGTCCAAGTTATATTATACTCCTTGAAGTAACCTGACTTTTCTAGCTAAATTTGCACATAATTAACCCACTCAATTGTAAAGAAAATTTGGAGGCATTAAAAATAGAAGTTAATAAAACATTTAATTTTTTTTTTTTTAAATAACATATATTTTAGATGTGCCATGCCAAATCCCTCTGGCACAAGCATCTCTTTATCCTACACAGGTTTTTTGTTTTTTTGTTTTTTTTTAATTTGTGATTTGGGTGAAAGTTTACGGAGCAAATTCACTTTCCATACAGCAGTTCACATACACTTTGTCTCATGACATTGACTGCAATCTTCCACGATGCAACAGCTCTCCTCCCACGTCCTCCCCATAGCCACCTCTTCCCTGTGTCCTTCCTTCCATGCACTCCTGCCCCCTGAGCTGTCTCCCTGTGCATACATAGCCCTTCTATTCTCCCATGATTGATCTCTCCAAGGACTGTATCTACCTAATGTAAATGTTCAGCTCATATGCCTGCTTTTGTTTGGCTGGAAGTCACAAGAGTGAGTTCAATTCCAGACCTGAACGGCAGCTAGGGACCACAGTCTCAGTGGTTTCACCAGGCTCTATCAGACCAGCAAACCTTGTCCCCCTCTTTTTTTTTTAATGATTTTGAGTTTTGTTCCACATTGTTCTTCCTCTCTATCCAGGATCTCCTACATAGATCCCCCTCTGAGTGGTTGACAGTGGTAGCCAGGCACCATCTAGTTCTTCTGGTCTCATAGTCATATAGGCTGAGGATCGCATGGTGTGCCAGTCACCTGGACTAATTGTTTCCATGAATCTTTGGTTTTCTTCATTCTTCTTTGCTCTAGATGAGGAGAAACCCATCGTTGACTCTAGATGGTCACTTGCAAGCTTTTAAGATCACAGTTGCTACTCACCAAAGTAGGAGGTGGAACAATGTTTTTGTGTAGTATGTTATGCCAGTTGAGCTTGATGTTCCCTAAAACAATGGTTCCAAGCTCACAGGTCCAACTACTTACTCCTTCTGGGTAGCTGGCTGTGGCCAAGAAGTGACTACAACCTTGTCCCTTGTCAGGAGTACTATGTACATGGAAATTCTTACAGAACATACAGATATACTTGTAGAAACATTGTTAGCCAATCCTATCCATGGTCATGGGCACACCTCCACTGCATAGACATACCTGATCATTTACCCATCTTGTAGATTAACGTTTGCCTTCACTGACAATGCAGTATACGTGCAAAAGGGTTCATCTTTGTTGTCTATCCCCCCTGCACTTCTGTACGTCTTCCTCTTCCTCAATGGCACCATGTTGATCACTCACATTTGGTACATTGCCCTTCCCTTCACCCAAATCAATACTTGTCTCCACCTGTCTCACAGTGTTCCCTCCCCTCCCCTGCCACCCTTGGTAACCAACAAAGAAAATTTCCTTCCATATAGAAACCTTTCCTTCCTTGACTTTTTACAATACCGACTAATACAATATTTGTCCTTCTGTGATTGACTTATTTCACTCAGCATAATGTCCTCCAAGTTCATCCATGTTATATGGTGATTTTCAGAGTCTACGTTATTCTTTTTTTTTTTTTTTGATTTGGGTGAAGATTTACAGAGTAAATTCACTTTTCATACAGCAGTTCACATATACTTTGTCTCATGTCATTGACAAAATTTGCAATGCAACAGCTCCCCTCCCACTTCCTCCCCATAGTTACCTCTTCCCAGTGTCCATCCCTCCATACTCTTCTGCGCCCTGAGCTATCTCCCT